TCCAAGGGTCTGGAGGGTCCTGTCCATGTCACTCAACGTTACTGCATTCCATGCCTGGGGAGGTTTGCTAGGGCCACCCAAGTTTTCAGAACAGAGCTAGCTGTCAGCACTTTAGATAACACTTTGGAAGTCTGCATGGAGCCGCCTGCACAATTGTTTGGGAACATTCAGGATTCGTTAAAGAAATGAATAGCTAACACAGCTTGACACATCACGAGGGAGCAATGGAGTCTGTATTGCCGAGAGGAGAGGTACTGCTGATTCAGAGGGAGCGGCCACAGATCGAGGCACCAGGTGCATTTGGGCCTGGTCTGGCAGACAGCCTGCAGAACACATGCCTCCTGCATGCAACACCTCTCACGGGAGTCCTGCTATGTGGCTGGAACAAACATGCCCAACACTATGCCTTACACCCTCCCTGCAACTGCTGAGGCCTTAAGGCGTCAGGTGGCTATCTCCCCAGGAATCAGGGGTTCAGGCAAAGCGGTTGCTTTCCTCCCCACCCCTGGTGCATCTGCATCCTTGTGCCGTGCAAGAGCGAGAGCATCTTCCATGCCAGCGGCTGTCAGAAAACTGAATGGAGAGCAAAGCTCTGCCGTTTCAAGCACTTTCATAGCAGGGAGGGGAGGTGGCAGCCTAATAGTAGACTCTCAGCTCTCAATCATCTGCTTCTAAAAAGCTGCATTTGCACTCTGTTCGGAGTCTCTTGTGGCAGCAGGCTCCAGCTCTTTAAAATCAAATGGTGCTTAAAATTAATTCTGTTAACTGATGAAAGAATTCTGATTGATGAATAATATCTCTTGGCTTTTCTAAAGGAACGTTTGCCGACGCCTCCCCCTGTGATGTCTGTGCCAGTCTTCCTCTGTGACTTCATCGCTCCTGCTCTTCATGGGAACAAGCTATCTATGACATCAGGGAGGTCACGTGTGGGAGCTTCCAGGGCAAGGGGAAGCAAGCTATGGGGTAACAAATAATAATAATTTCAAAGGAGAGGGAGTTACTTCTCTTAAAAGCAGGTACCAGTGAAGATAAGAATGGTGAATACAATCCCAGAAGCAAAGCATCTCTCTGCTGCTCAGATCAGGATGGGCTGAAAATACTGTGCAGCCTTGGAGACCATTCTTCCTTCCAACTCTGCTTCCTTCTCCTAGAATCCTTCATTCATTTCAATTATTTACATTCTGCCTTTCAGGGTACAAATATTTCCAAAGTGGCTTAAAGATAACATTGAACTATTTGTTTTAAAAAGCCATTATCACCAAATTAAAAAGCCAAAAGGATCCTTCCCACAGGCCAGTGGTTGGTAAAAGAATGACTGGGGGTGGGAGTGGGGGAGAGATAGATCTGCTTGATGTCTCCATTGCTTGCCTCTCTTTCTCCCCTGGAATGTATGGGGGCAGTGGGTAGTACATGGCCCTCTGGTGGTAGAGCAGCTGGCTGGAGCAGGCTCTGAGGTGGCCTTTACCTCCCACCCTCCTGGTATCCCAAGATAATTACCAAGGTGATTAAAAGGAGCATGTTGGTCTCACCAAAACCTCCACTCCTGCTATACCTTAAAGCCTTAGTTCTTGAGAATCATTTACAGACATTTGGAGTTTCATATGTATTCCTGAAATCTCACACTCTTCCCTTGCACCTGTTTGTTTGTTTGTTTGTTTGTTTGTTAAGACATATCCATGTAAATAAATCACCACTTGCAAACATTTTATGAAGCTTGCACAGTGGACATTAATTGTCTGAATTTGACAATGGTCTGGTTCACATGACATGGAAAACTAAACTATGGCTTTCTGCAAATGTGGAGGTTCCTGGAAAGGAGCTTGCTTGTTTTGGCACAGCAGCAACCAGGCCAAGCACAGTGTTTGCACGCATGTGTACATACATGCTTGGGCAGGTTGCTAAGTAATTTTCTCTTTTTTTTTTTTTTTAAAGCAATTTATTGGGTTTTACAATAAGAATAAACATAATAAACAATATAACATTTGTCTTAACATAGTTTCACATTTTCTTTGGACTTCCTCACATCCCCGCTCCCACTTTCATCGTTATAACATTTTGTCAGCAATTTATCATCTTATTTAAATTCTTATATCTCTTCAATGTTTCATAAACTTATAGTTCTCATGGAGAGTTAAACTTTCACAGTCTTACTTATTTTCTTAAAAACTTCTAAGTTAAGTGGTGCTCAGTTATTTAGTCTAGCATCTTATTTAGCATTCACTCAAATCACAATATTTTTGTAGATAGTTCTTAAATTTCTTCCAATCCTCCTCGATTCTCTCTTCTCCCAGGTCACGGATTCTGCCGGTCATTTCAGCCAGTTCCATGTAGTCTATCAGTTGCATCTGCCATTCTTCCAGTGTGGGTAAATCTTGAGTTTTCCAATGTTTTGCAAGAAGTATCCTTGCTGCTGTTGTTGCATACATAAAAATGTCTGGTCCTTCTTTGCCACCCCTTGGCTGACAATACCCAGAAGGAAAGCCTCTGGTTTCTTGGTAAAGGTATATTTAAATACCTTTTTCAATTCATTATAAATCATTTCCCAGAACGCCTTCACTTTAGGGCAGGTCCACCAGAGGTGGAAGAACGTTCCCTCACACTCTTTACATTTCCAACACTTATTATCAGACAGGTGGTAAATTTTTGCAAGTTTAACTGGGGTCATATACCATCTATAAATCATTTTCATTACATTTTCTTTCAGAGCGTTACATGCAGTAAATTTCAATCCATTACTCCACAACTTTTCCCAGTCCTCAAACATAATATTATACCCAATGTCCTGTGCCCACCTTATCATAGCCGATTTAACCATTTCATCTTGTGTATTCCATTCCAACAGCAAGTTATACATCCTTGAAAGTACCTTAGTCTTTGGTTCTAACAATTCTGTTTCTAATTTCGATTTCTCCACCTGGAACCCTAGTTTCTTATCATTTTTAAAAACTTCTTTAATCTGAGCGTAATGTAACCAATCTCGCACTTTGTCTTTCATTTTCTCCAAACTCTGCAATTTCCAATTGTCTCCATCCTTTTCTAGTATTTCCCAATATTTTGGCCATTTAGCCTCCATATTGGGTCTTTTTCGGGCCTTAGCTTCCAAAGGTGAAAGCCACCTTGGTGTTTTATTTTCCAGCAAGTCTTTATATTTTGTCCAGACATTAAACAATGATTTTCTGACAATATGGTTCTTGAAGGCCTTATTTGCTTTAACTTTGTCATACCATAAATATGCATGCCATCCAAAAACATTATTAAACCCTTCCAAATCCAACACATCAGTGTCTTCAAGAAGTAGCCAGTCTTTTAGCCAGCAGAACGCTGCGGCTTCATAATACAACTTTAAGTCCGGCAGGGCAAAGCCCCTCTTTGTTTTGCATCAGTTAATATCTTAAACTTGATTCTGGGCTTTTGCCCTGCCAGACAAACTTCGAAATATCTCTCTGCCACTTCTGAAAGCACTCCGTTTTGTCCAAAACCTGAAGTGTTTGAAATAAAAACAACATCCTTGGCAATACATTCATCTTAATAGCAGCAATTCGGCCTAACAAAGAAAGTTTCAATTTTGACCAACTGTCTAAGTCTCTCTTAATTTCTGTCCAACATTTTTCATAGTTATCCTTAAATAGACTTAGATTTTTGCTGTTATGTTTACCCCTAGGTATTTTACTTTTTAACCACATTAAGTTCCGTCTCATTCTGAAACCGTTCTGACTCTGTATCAGTCAAATTTTTCCCCAAAACCTTAGTTTTCTGTTTGTTTAATTTAAATCCCGCCACCCGACCAAAATCATTAATCAATTGTAATACTCTTTTCGTACTGGGCTCTGGCTTTTGCAGAGGTCAAAACCAGGTCATCTGAAAATGTTTTTAGTTTATTTTGTTTCTGACCAACCTGAATTCCTTCCACCACCCGATCCCCTCTAATCATGTTCAGTAGCACTTCCAGAACCGAAATAAATAACAAAGGGAAATAGGGCAACCTTGTCGTGTCCCTTTTTCAATTTTGAACTCTTCTGTGACCACATTATTAACTATCAGTTTAGCTTTCTGTTCTGAATATATCGCCTCAATCCCATTCTCAAAACCCCGTCCCACTCCCATCTCTTTTAAATTTCCCATCATAAATTTCCAGGAAATATTGTCAAAGGCCTTCTCCGCATCTATGAAAATTAAAACTGCTTTTGTATTTATATCTGTTTGCAGAAGTTCCAAGATGTCAATAATGTTCCTTGTGTTAGCAAACAGATGTCTACCTGGGAGAAAACCGGCCTGGTCCTTATGAATTACTTCATTTAATACTTTTTAAATCTACTTGCCAAAATATCTGCAAATATTTTGTAATCCACATTTAAAAGAGAGATGGGACGGTAGTTCTTCAGTTGTGTCTTTTCAGCTTCTGACTTTGGTATTAATGTGATGAACGCTTCCTTCCACGAATCCGGTGCCCTCTTCCCCTCCATAATTTCATTGCTGACCTCCATCAAGGGTTGTATCAAATAGTCTTTTAATGTCTTATAATACTTGGAGGTCAGCCCATCTGGCCCTGGAGATTTGCCAAGTTGCATGTTCTGAATAGCTTGTTCAATCTCCTGTCGTGTTATTTTAGAGTTCAGGATTGTCCTGTTTTCTTGTGACAATTTAGATAATCCATTTTTGCCAAAAATTGTTTAATCTCAACTTCGTCTTGCGGCCCTTGGGTGTATAATTTTTAAAATATCTCTGGAAACACTTTCTAATATCCACTGGATTCTGAATGTTTTTTCCATCAACCTCTAAGTTTGTAACCGTGTTTAATCTTTGTCTTCTCTTCAACTGCCAAGCTAGCAGTTTTCCACATTTATTCGCCGACTCAAACGTTTTTGTTTCATTAATTTAACCTTCCATTCAATTTCCTGGTTTATCAATTTAGAATATTGTGTTTGATAGAGTTTAATTTCTCTCAGAGTTGGCTGTGACTTTGGATTCGCTCTTAATTTCTTCTCTAATTCTTTTAATTTGTCCAAGATCTTATCTTTTTTCTCATTTTGTGTTCTTTTCTTTACTACATTCTGTTGTATCAAGAATCCCCTCATTACAGCTTTGCTTGCGTCCCAGACGATTCTTTTTCCACCGAATTGTTCATGTTTATCTCAAAATAGTCCTTCAAAACTTTTTGGGCCTTCTTGGTAATTTCCTGATCTCTAAACAAATTGTCATTCATCTTCCATCTAAAGGATCCAGTTGGTAGTAGTGTCATATCCATCTTTACTGCATTATGGTCAGAGCAGGTCTTTGGGCAGATTTCCACTTTTCTGACCTTAGGTGCCAGGCCTCTGGAAATCCATATTTGGTCGATTCTTGTCCAGGTCAGTTGGGCTTCAGAAAAGAATGTTCCTTCTCTACCTAGTGGGTTCTTTGTCCTCCAAATGTCAATCAAATCCATATTGTCAGTCATTTCAAAAAAAGTTTTAGGTAGTCTGCCGTCTTTTGTAACATTTTGACTTTGTGACTTGTCCATGTTAGTTGACACGACCCCGTTCATGTCTCCCATCATTATGATGTTGTTGTAATCCAGATATTCCAGCATTGTCCCCTGCAGCTTCTTGTAAAATTCCGATTTCCCTTCATTAGGTGCATAGATTCCTAATATCAACAGTTTCTCTCCTTGATATTGTATCTCAATGGCCAAAATTCTTCCATGTTCATCTTTAAATAAGAATTTAGGTGACAGGCTCTCTTTTGCATATATCACCACGCCTCTCTTCTTAACTTTGTCCGACGAAACAAATTCCTGGCCCAATCTTTTATTTATTAACACTTTTCTGTGGAGCCTCGTCACATGTGTTTCTTGTAAACAGATAATGTCCAATTGTTCTTTTTTAATATATGAAATATTTTCTTCCTTTTTTCCGGAATGTTACAACCATTAATGTTCCAACTCAGCAATTGCAGAGACATCCTGGATCTATCTGGTTATTTCTCCAGGGGTGGTGTCTTCTCTGGATCTTCAGGTTCCCCAGGTGCTGGTGTTAATGCTGGCTTTGCCCCAGGCCCAGAAGGTAATTCAATTCCTTTTTGAAGGTCCTCTCCGTATGTAGCCAAAAATTTGTCTCTCTCTTCCAATGTTCTAACTTTGACCTTTCTCCCTTTAAAGGTAAAAGATATTCCTTGGGAAATTCCCACCTGAATGGAATTGCGTTGCTCCTTAGTAGTTTAGCAAGTTCAGAATAGGCGGCTCTAAGATCCAGCAGTTGTCTTGGAATATCTTTATAAATTTCAATTCTTCTGTCCAAAACCTCCAGTGACTTTCCGTAATGTAGGCCCAAAATCTTATCCCTTTCCTCCTTTGATCTCAATGTAATCAAACAGTCTCTGGGCCTCTCCTTCTTTGTGAATCTTCCAAGTCTGAAAGCCGACACAATTTTAAAATCCTTTTCTTCCAAATTCCAGAACTTGGAAAATTCTTTGGTCAAAAACTCAGTTAAATTTCCTTCTTCTGCCTCTTGTAATGATCTAATCCTCAAATTATTCTCACGATTTCGCAGTTCTATCATGGAAAGATAAGTCTGATGTTCCCCAACTTGTTTGGTGAGTGGTCTTACCTCTTGCTCTAAATTTTCCAATTTTTGTCTAGTATCCTCAGCCAATTTCCGATTTTCTGCTGAGGCCTCCGTTAACTGTCCAATTGCTTGTGTATTCTGTACAACTTGTATGGTTAATTTATTTAGACATTCTGTATTTTTGTCAATCTTTGCTGATTGCGCATCTACTTTCTTGTCCAAAGCTTCCAATTTTTCAAAGATTTTGTCTAGAACAGAAACAGATACTCCTGAGGCCATATCTTCCAATTGTAACTGCTCTGCTTCACCCTCTCCCTCTTTTGCCTGTGGCAAGGCAACTTCTTCAAGTTCTACTTCTGAGGGCAAAGTAGGTACAGATGATCTACGTGTCTGCGAGGCTGAGGTTAGAGTTGTTAAAGTTGTTTGTCTAACTCTCCCTCTTTTCCTTGTGCCACTCATTCCAACGTTGTCTATCAGTCAAGGTCACACTGAGTTTTTCCCATGGGAATAGAAAGGCCCAGAGCAAGCAAACAACAAGGGAATCGAAAGTAAATGTAAATGTAAAGTCACTGTTTTAATCCAATCCTCTAGAGGGAGCTTAAAATGTCTTTCAGAGTCTAATTTAATGTCCAAGAACCTTCAAATATAAATATTTAGCAGAGTTTATAAGTAGTCACTTTGTTACAGACAGTGCTTATTTATCTCCAAAAAGAATGTTTCAAATTTAAAAAGTCTCAATACCCTCAGATTGTTGCAAGTTCCAATATACAGTATCCAAATCTGCAATACTGACAGCTCAATTTCTCAATGCTCAGGCAGCTCCTGACTCTGGGTTTCACCTTCTAATTTGTAATCCAATAAAAGGGGAAAGTCAAGTGCAAGTTAAAATTCCAAGTCTTTAGCTTAAAGTCTTTACTTTAAATTGCAAGTTCAGTAGATGCTTAGATCTGTAAAGTTTAAAATCTCTTCCTTTCAGCCTCCACTCCTCCAACTTAGTTGCTTTTTTCAAGTTCAATGGCTGCGGAAGACGGACTTCCTGTTTCCACGTCTCTCCGCTTTCAGCCAAGTTCAAGCCAATTTAAGGTTTTTCATTTAAAGTCTCTAATTTCAAGTGATTCAGTCTTTACTCACGAGTAAGTTGCTTTTCGTCCGAATCCGTAATTTAACAGGAAATAGGATCAGCGCTCACCGGCAGCAGCAGCGCGGCTTCACTCCGCAGACTGTGAAGCAGCTCTCAGCGCCGCAACCCCCCTCCACGCTCCGGAGCCCCTTACGAGGTTCCTTTCACGTTTGGAGGGTCACTTAAGGCGCCCACCGAGCCTCAAGACCCCAAGCTCTTGCTGCCTGGGGTTTTCCGGAGTGGGTCTCCGCTTCGCCGTAGCGGACGACCCGTTGTCTGCGGAGCCTCCTCTCCCGTTCAGAAGAGGACCGCCATTGCCGTTCGCGCCGCCCCTCGGAAGTCCGCTAAGTAATTTTCTCAAGACACATGGCACCTGCCCAGCTGCTGGTGTTGTTCATGGAGGCAAGGTTGAGGATTACGTATTTTCTAGGAGAGAGCAGGGCTGTGTATGCCTACAGGCTCCCAGGAATATGTCTTGCTGTCATAATAACTTAAATGCTTCACAAAAGCCCATGCATCCCCTTTCTGCTTGCAAAGGTATAGTCTCTAGTCAAGCTATGGTTTTCTAATGGCTCTTCCAAAATATGGGGCATTAGGCATCCCTGATTCAATTAAACAGCATGTCACTCAGCAACTTCTCTGTGTTACATTCTTTGTGTCATTTTACTCTGTGGCTGTTGGTGTCAGTGGTCTGAGATAAATGGCTCAGGTATGCTTTCTAAGTGCATTTTTGGAATGTGGCAACATTCATTTAGGATCCTGCTTAGCATAGAGCAATTCACCAATGGTCAGTGGACTGGGTGACCCAGGCAAGAGGATACATGTTGTCTGTCCTGTTAACAGATTTATTGCTTATGTAGATGCAATAAGAACTGTGACCTCTCAGCAATCACATCCCAAGTCAACATCAAATAAAGTTCACTTCTGCAGCAAGCTACAATATACTGGCTAATATTACCTGGTTTTGTGTGGGTTACATGATCAATGAGATATGCATGTCCTAAATCTGCATGTGTCAGAACTAAAAGAACACTGAACTTTAATCACATTGACACAGGACTGCAGCCCCCATTTAATTGACACTCAAATAATTTTTGAGGGAGCTTTCATTGGTTCAGGAGCCTTTATTTCCTTCAGAATATTAAATATCCTGCTCTTCAGTCCAAAAAGGCTCCCAGAGCAAATTACAAAATAATTCTAAAACAGTAAAACAATGTAAAAGCCAATAAAGACAATATTAAAGCATCAGGCAGCAGAGCAGGCAGTTTTCCAGTGCTTAAACAAAATTAATACTTAACAGATCTAGAAGGCCTGAGCAAATAAGAAGTCTTCACAAGGGAGTCAGACACATCTCATTGGGGACAGAGTTTCAAACCCAGGGCACTATCATAACCAAGAAGGCCCTGTGTCTGCTCATAACCCACCTAACCTCATATAGCAGAGCAATTGAGAGAACAACTTCCAAGGATTATCTTAATTCTGGGTAGGTTCATATAGGGGAAAGAGATTATGAAGGCACTTGGGCCCCAATCCCTGCTGAATAGTGCTCATAAACAGACTGGAAGCCAGTGTCATCATTTCAGAAACAGGTGACATACACATCATTTGCCCAATCCTAGTAAGTACCTAGTCAAGGTGATGTAATTTGAACCAGCTTCAGTAGCTGAGAGGTCTTCAGAGGCAGCCTCATGAACAGCACTTTAAGGTCAGTATTCAACTAAATAATTGGGACTAGTGCAGTGGGACTTTCCAACTTTACACCCAAACCACTTACATACGGCTGCCATTTTACCTCCCAGCCCCATCTTATTCCTTTCTTTATGTTACCCCAGTAGTGGTGCCTAGTAAATGCTGGAGCAAGCAAACTTTACTACTTCCTCTCAAGGAGTAAGAGGAAAATGGAACTAAATTGCAAAGTGCTCCCCTTCCACACCCTGTTTTTAGTATTAGCCCTGGGATATGCAAAGCCAATAAAAAGGGGGGGGGCAAGTGTTTCTGTGCATGTTAATAACTTTCCCTCACCACCGAGATATTAGGTGTGGGGGCAGGTGTGAGGAACCTTTCTCATTCCAGAAGTTGCTGAACTATCTTTCCCACAGCAAGCATGAACAATGGCCAGGGATCATGGGAGTTGCAGTTCAGGAACATGTGGAAAGCCAAAGATTCCGCATACCTGGTCTACAGTTTCCAGAGCTTCCCCTCAGCTCTCCTGATCCACTCAGTCCAGATGTGTGTGGTGTTTCAGCAGTTGCTGACTCCCTACCAAGCCACATGACTAATAGGAAGTGGCATAGGCACTGCAGCGCACAGAGCTGGCTTCATGCAGAGATCATAGGAGCATCTCAGAAGGAAAGGCAACTCATTTTGTTCCAAGGACTATACTTCTGCTCCCAGTCATGCTTTACTGTGGGCCAGTCATGTGATATTCTGCCTACAAAGCATCTTTCTTCTTTGCAAACATATTCCCATTCAAAATGCTAATTTCCCATAAAAATCATTACAGGTTTATCAGTTTTCACCTAAAATTCATTGGCATCTGCCCTTCAGTAAAGAACACCCTCCTGAAATGTGCAAATTGGCCAGATGTGGCTGTCAGAGATTTAGACAGACTGACAGATGCCTTTGCATTTTGAATTAGGTGTAGCCAACTGCAGTTGCCCACCCGGTTGTAAAAGCAGAGTTGGCTCCTTTCTGGAAAAGCTTGTGATTGACAGAAACATGTAAGCAGCTAACACCTGGAGAAGTAGGTACTCCCTCAGCCAGGCATCAGCTCATGATGTAAGTAACAAGCAGTCAGCCGCGGGGTATAATACAAGAGCTATCAAGCCAAAGCCTGAGTTCATCCCCTTCGCCCACACAGCCTCACTGTCATGCCACGAGCTCTCTATTTTCACATCAGGCAGTAATGGCAGGGGATGAATAGGGTCCTGGTGCTCATCAAGGCAGGACTGTGGCCCATCCCTGCTGCTGCAAGAAAATGCCCCTACCAACACTGCTGTCTAGAGGACCTGTAGCTGGTGGTGGACTGCAGGTTCAGTTTGTAAATGCAGAAGACACAGAGGTAAAGCTGATGATCAGGAGGTGAGCTGAAAGCTCCATACCAGGCAGAAAGCACAGCCAGAGGTGGTGGTCCAATTCAGTCTGTATTATTTTCACGTGTATCTACTGCCCTCTTATCAGACAGATGTCCTCTGGAGCATTGGACTACCACCAAGTTGAGGGACAGTTGCTCGATATACAGCCATACCTCGAGTTACAGACACTTCAGGTTGTGCGTTTTTGGGTTGCGCACCACGCCGAACCCAGAAGTACTGGAACGGGTTAATTCTGGGTTTCGGCACTCGCGCATGCACAGAAGACCAAATCGCGACCCTCACAGATGTGATGCTGTGGGTTGCGGATGCTGTGGGTTGCAAACGTGCCTCCCACACAGACGACGTTCGCAACCTGAGCATCCATTGTATATTGTGGCAAACTCCACTTACACAGAGAAAATGTAACACAAGACAGTTAAGGAAGCAGGTGTCACATGAGTGACGTGTGCCCTCAAATTGTACCGACATGATTTGGCCAGAGCTGAGAATACATTCACAGGAGATACAGCTGTCACCTCATTGGATTTGTCTACGCAGCTCTAAACTGTGGGCCCAGGGTACTGTTTCACTGCTTTGGATTTCTACCATCCAATCACGCAAGCACGAGTCAAACCATGTTGGTCTCCTGATAGTATACAGTAGGTTTTAATTTGGGAATGGAGGGAGCACAAATACAAGGCTGACTTTAGGTCATGAGATGTGCTTAAAGCTCCATACAACCAGGGGCATACAAAGCGGGGGGCCACACTTGGTGACAAGATGGCCCGCTGCCTCCCTCCCAGCTGTAGAGCAGCTGAGGGTGTGCGCACCATCAGTATGGGCGTCACTCACACGGCGTCCGTACAGGCTGCTGCGCGTGCACAACCCTCCCCTCGGCGCACTGCACTGGGTGCCAGAGATGCTTCTTCTGCCACTGCATACAACATAAGGAAGCAACTTTAAGGAACAAATTGAGGGGGGGGGTAAAACTTAGGAACAAATTGTTCAGAAATATACAATTCTTGGCCTCTGTTCCTACCAGCTCCACCATCTTGCTCTTAATAGCAGGAAGAAACATCTCCCAGAGGGTTTGAAACTTAATCCAGACATGATCGAAGTGCTCCTGGCCCACAGAACTGGGCAGAACAAGGTATAGGAACTCAATCTGCCTTAGATGGTGCTGCCAGTGGCCAGGAGTGCTTCTACACAGTTGAAATTTGGGTGCCAAAAACCAGCGTTCCCTGAAGTGTCAGATCTGGCCTTGATGACACCAAGTTACACCTCAATGGATGACTGTAATGCACTGTGCATGGAGCTACCTTTTAAAACTGTTTGGAAAATTCACTTGCTCTAGAACAACATTTCTCAACCTGTGGGTTCCCAGATGTTGTTGAACTCCCATCACCCCTAGATAGCAAGGCCAGAGCTCAGGGATGATGGAGTTGTAGTCCAACAACATCTGGCTACCCACAGGTTGAGAACCGTTGCTCTAGAATGCTGTAGCCAGACTGTCGACAAGTGCCAGTTATTGGGAGCATGCATCTTCACTGTTGGAATAATTTATTTAGCTACTGATACCTCTAAAGCCCTTCTGATAGCAACTACTGATGTGTTTTGAGGTACTGGTTCAAAGTACTAGTTACAGCATTGATAGTCATAATAGCTTAAGACCTTCTCCCATTTTCAGAATTAATTATTGTATTCCAGTGCGGTAATAAATACTGCAGCCATTCCAAATAACTCCTTATTTAGAATAATTGAATAACAGAATTGTAGAGTTGGAAGGGACCCCAAGGGTCATCTAGTCCAACCCCCTGCAATGCAGCAATCTCAGCTAAAGCATCCATGACAGGTGGCCTCCATAAAGGAGCTTGTTGTATATTCCTCCCCAAGTGTCTGGCACCATCTTGGATGTGCTTCCCGCCCCCTCTAGGTACACTATTGTAAGGAAAGGAAGATGAATGGGAGTCCTGGAGGGAAAGTGAGAAGTGGAGTGTTAATGGTACCTGCAGCAAAATGGCTAAGTTCACCCTTGCTAAAGATAAAGAAATGACTCCCCCCCCCCCCAAATACTATTCCAATGATACATTGTCCACCTGGGAACATGAGAAACTGCTACCTGGATTAGCTGTAATGGCCAAGCAATTATTGTTCCCAGCCTGCTCCATCACATTGTTGAAAGAAACATGAGTGGGAATAACCTGCAAACCCTAGAAAATGTGACCCAGGCTGCATTTTCTTCCTGCACTAGCAAGATGCATTTTCCAC